CTTTCCTGCCCTTAGAGATGAGCTGCAATATTTTGGGTTTTTACTCTGAAATTCACAGGAAGTCAGTAGAAGGAAGCTTAAACAGATGATATATGCCCATCTGTTTTAGTTTTGGTTAAAGTCTAAGTGGTTGGGTTGTGAACATGCTGAAACTTGTTAAGAACATGTTTAGATACACCAGAAAGCACTGAATTACAATAATCGAGCCTGGAAGCATCAGTGGTTTAAATCAAGCAGACGTTAGGTCTTCTCCATCAGACTGAGAGAGATGTGAATGAATATGTGTGATGTTATGGAAATAACAAAACACAACACTGTCAACACAAGCTTTAAACGCTCAGTTCAAAAACATCTCCAGGATTCACCAGGTGAGTACTTGCACAAATTCCAGTACCAGCGAACTAAGGCAGACACATCTGCTGAGCTGATAAGGAGAGTCAGCCAATCGATCTTGTCAAAATTAAGAGGGAAAAAGTTTTGTTGCACCCTCTTTTAAAAATAATCTAAGCAAAGTGAAAAGAGTGTTTGATTAACACCAGTATCCATGCTGACATACAGTACATGTGGGAGTCACTAGCACAGAAATTAAGACTGAATCCATATGTACATCCATAAGAATAGGATCCAGTGGTAAGATACAGATACTGAAACGAATTTGCACCAAGAACAGAGCCTTGTGGGACACCAGTCAGTCAAATCAGTCTCCAGTCATACCAACCCTTCTCAAACATTTTCAGGAAGATGGTATAATCAGCAGCATAAAAGGAAGTACTAAGGTTCACCAGGACATGCAATAAATGGACAGAAAGTGAAAGCCACCAGTCATCAGCATCTGTTGAAACCCTAACAAAGCCCTCCTTCTATACTCTGTGTGTTCTGTATGCATTGATTTGAAGTCAGAACTAAAAGCTTGTAGTTTATGTACAGATTAAATAAGATAATTTTCAGATTTTGCTCAGTAAGGAAGAAAACACCAACAGGAATAGATCTGCAATGCAATGCAAATGTAAATGAAATAGTTTTGCACATTGTAATTGTCACAGTCTGCTGCCCGTCCCATTCCACTAAAGAGAAGCACTCTGACTACCAGCATCAGTCTCACACGTCTGCACTTTCGAAGAAGAGCGTATTTCAGTGTTGATTTTCTCATTCTTTGTGCAGCACAAAATCAAGTACATTTTGCAGGGATAAGGCTAATTGGAAAAATAGCTGTAATTGTGATAGGCGCTAATGTGGTGCAATTGTTCTGTGGGTTACTAAGATTTTGTCAGGATCATATTTTTTTTCAACAATATAAATACAATGCTTAGTAGCTGACATAGATACCGCATCCTTCTCATTTTTAAGACATTTATTTTAAAGTGTTTTTTATTGCTCTTTGCAGATTTGTCAGAGCCGTGTCTTTAGCATATATACAGTAAGAATGTAGGAGATGACAAAGAATCAGGATTTCCAGGAGATGTGGCAAATTACCATTATCAACCCATTTGAATTTTGTGAAAGGGCTTTAAATGTGAGGCCTTCGGCATAGCTGCAAATGAATTGCTTTCCTTCGTGAGGTACAAAAAGATATCTTTTTTCATTCCCCCTGTTATTAAGCATGTCATGTGAGAAACTGCTGATGGGCAGAGCTGAAGAAATCTCAATACCTTGCCACCAGGACATGATTTTCCAGAGTGTGATTACAGGGTGAATCACCCTCCTGACTTGATGAAACTATGATGTACTATCCTCTCTCTCTTACATACAGTATGTCATTAAACCAGTACAAATACTTTAAAATGACGTCTTTGGTTCCTTAGTCGGTACTCTCTCCTGCATTTTCTAATAAACTTGTCAGCATTTCAATTGCGTATAAAAACAAAGTAGTTCCCTAAATGCTTATAATACCTATTCATCTCTATCTCTTATCCTATCACAAGACTGTTTTTCAGACTTTAAAAAAACGACATCATTAGTATCGTACAGAAAGAAGAGATCTGTAGCAGCAACAGAACAAGAAAGGACTGTCAACATTATAGGGGTTTCTTCACTCATGCTTTGATCTTGTTGATTTATTTCTAAAATGACAGCATTGATATATTACCATATATGTTTCTAAAATCTTAATTTTATAATACAGGGGCCGGAAAGACTGCAGATCTAACACCATTTCATTAAAGGGGGAGAACAGAACCAGGACACTATACACCGATCAGTCTTTGGGGGGGGGGCAGATTGTACAAGCCATGAGTGGAATTTATCCAGGAAACCAGGGCTAACACCCCTAATCTTTCATGGAATCTCAAGTGTCACGGGATCATTAATCACCATCTAGACAGGACCTCAGTTTAACATGTCACCCAGAGGTCATCACCTCATACAGCACAGAGTTCCTGGTCTCCACACTGGGGCCACACTGGGGCACTGCCTTATAAGAGTGCCCCCTATTGGTCCACCAACACCTCTTGCAGCAGCAGACTCCAGTCCCAGTGCTGACCAGTCCAAGGCCTTGGTTAGCTTCTTGGCTAAGGAATAAACCTTTACTTGTTCCTTTGGAGCCTGCGTATGCTGACACAGCTCCCTACTCGAATTCTTATTATTCATTTCAATTCAAATCCTTCACTCATCCGCAGGGGCCCAGTTTAAGATGGCCAATTCTACAGATAAGTAACTTACTTACAAGTCAAAGATATGGCAATATGTACAAGTAACTTACGTTTGTACCTATATTTAATGTCGGTTTAATAATTTAATTAATTATTTTGCACATGACCTCAAAAAACATACTGAATTGCCAGAAGCAAGTTAATACAATTTCTTAAAAAGCGCATACATACAAAATATATGTGCATTAAATATATTACTCTCGCCTAATATCACAATACTTTGTAGGCCTTTTTTTAAAATCTGTCTCACAGATAAAAAAAAATAATATAAATATTTTAGATAGCACCTTTAGAGGTATCTTCTCAAAGCTCAAAACGTGTTTTCAAAGTGACACCAATTTATTTCAGTCACAGAGTAGGATTTTCTTATATGAATGTAACAAAAGGCAATCAGGCAATTTCATATATGGTCTTTCAGAGTCGCAATGTAACTCTTTTTAATTTGGGCCCACATACAGTATGTTTCAACCACGCAGGAGTACCGTAACATGCTTGTCTCATGAGGCAAGAAAGGTATTGATTTCCTTTGTTGCAGACCAGACATTTCTGTAAAGCAGCGTAAAAGAGCCATAGCAAAACATACACTTCTTTTTTTATTAAATATAACACTCATCCGAATAACACTTCTCTCACTACGGTGATGTTATATACATACTTATAGCAACATGACTGCAACCCAACACCATTCAGATTCAATTCAAATAGATCCTCACTTTCCCCATCTAAAACTGAAAGATATTATTTCTTTAAAACAACAAAGAAAGACCTACAACCTTTATATCAAAACTAGCAAAAGCTGTGTTCTTTTTTTAAATGTGTTGGGGTGCCCCTGAGCAAGGACAACCTTTTCACAAGACGCTTCCAAAGATAATTTTAATTTTATTTAGATCATTATCTGCTGCGGCTGTGTTTGCGTGGAGAGTCTGTGCAGGATTGAGGCAGACCCACCTTCACGAGGTGAAATGAGGTCTACCGCGTACCGTAGCCTCAGGTGTACGGCGTCAGTTTACAGATGTTATGTGTAGCTGCTCTACATACAGTTACACATACACACATTTATACATACATAAATCTCCATGATAACAACTGTCATCTGCACTGATAGTTTGAATTCACGGCCGACACCGGCTGTAAGCTAGCGTCATTTACAATATGCGCTTCACTCGGGATGAAAGTAGCTTTTTTTTTTCTTACCTGTAAGGTATCGTTATTAAGGATAATAACACCCCCAACAAGGCACATTTGAGCGTGTGTTTTTTTTTTGGGGGGGGGAGGTGAGGGGCATCACCTCAGACGGAATTATTTCGTCTTTCCTCCGCTGTTTCAACAAACTTTAAGCACAAGCGACGAGATCAGGCAGTTGCCGAGATCGCCGCCCTAATTACCCAGGATGTCTTTGATCGTGTTCTTGTCGAACTGGCCCGCTGCTGTTGCACATCTGTCCTGAGGCTCGTAGCTTAATAACACAGCACTAATAACACTTGAAACCGGATCCAAAAAGAACTTTAAAAGAGCTCGAAAATATGCATAATAATTAATGGATTCAAAGTTATGATGAGCCGTAATACCAGCCCTGTTACACACGAACCGCGGCTTGCTGTCACTGTTGATTGTAACAGGTAAAGTCATCTTGGATGACTCATGACCGATGCATGACGTAGTGTATTTTATGGTCTAAGAGTTAAAGATAAAATGAAACATCAAACATGATAATAATTAACATTTTACAGGTATTCGTAAAATTCCATTGTATATTAAAGACTGCATATAAGCTGCAATTGAGAGAATATAGGTACAGAAATGGCATTTTTGGCAAGTCCAGCTTTCGGGGTACGAGATGAAACGTTCATAGAGACTTTGCTGCATTTTCTTATTATCTTAATCGGATGATTGTGAACTAAAGTGTGTTGCTGACGGTTGTCTTGGTTTTAATTACATGGTTGTACCACTTCTGCATCATGAATATTTGCAGGAGTTAAAAAGGATGGTCTTCAACAACAACAACAACAACAACAACAACAACAACAACAACAACACTGATAACTATTGAACAGCAGTTCAACAACAGTATTTTTTTTAAAAAAAACTCTCAGCACGTTACGGAAGATGTAGCTGAAACAACAGATGAAGTCACTAACTTCAGGATAGAGGGCCTTTTCTCCGAGAACTGTGCTCCTCGGCAGCATGTTAGAGGGCGCTTTCCGCCTGTAGCTCGGCTTGTGTAGCTGTCCTCCCGGAGTCCGGAGTCTCTTTGTTCCTGTGCGCTGGGGAAAGGGGAGGCTCACTGCTCGGCGCTGCGAGCGAAACCGATTGGCTCCGAGTCTCGTATATAAACCGGCAAGTGTGTAGCAGAGAGCAGTTACTGTCACAGGCTGGGTGCGACCGGGAGAGGAGTTCCTTGCTCGACCTGGGAGGGGGGGGTGGATTAATTGCTGGCTCGCTTTTCTGTTCCTGGGGGATTTGATTTGCGAGGACGGCGTAAGGTAACGAAGAAACGAAACGAAATCAATGAAGGAGAGAAGACCCGGCCAGAAGCTCTCCAGTAAATCCGGGATGGATCCCAACCAGAGTGTGAAGTGTAAAATAGTGGTGGTGGGGGACAGTCAGTGTGGGAAAACGGCACTGCTCCATGTGTTCGCCAAGGACTGCTTTCCCGAGGTACGTGTTGCGGGGGCTCTCGGGCTGGATCCCCCGGATTCCTAACTTGAAACTCGTGCCCGTCTGTGGAGCCGTGCTGTGCTCTTCCCACTCGTGTTCTCACGCCACTCAGCCGTTTGTTTCATTCCACATTCTGGGACTGACTTCAGTTGCCCCTGGTTCCCCGAAGGGCATTCATTTTCCGCTGAAGTGAGATGCGGCGTGCTCATTTCATCTCGGTGAAATCGGGTTTATTGTCTAGGAGTTATTGTCTTACTTTTTTTTATTGGATTTGGGGGAAAACAACTCCTGTCCTGCGATGTTATTAGAACATTGCACTCGGGTCTCTTTTTTTTTAATCTTTTAGCCTTGCGTTACGCATTTTGAGTGTTGAGTGTACCTCCTGCGTCTGTCCTCGTTATACCTAAGGATGAAAGGGCTGAAATGTGCTCTCCTTTCCGTTTAGAACTACGTCCCGACAGTGTTTGAGAATTACACGGCCAGTTTCGAAATCGACACGCAGAGGATTGAACTCAGTCTCTGGGACACTTCAGGTAAGCGTTTTAATATCCCGACCGCGGATCGCACCGCCTGCATGTGGAGAAGATGATGTTCTTGAGCGCTTTTTTAAAATAGTGAATTAGCGTCTGTTCGTTTCCAAGACTAGATGTTATATCCCCTTTTTGCTTTCTCCTGATAAATGTGAGATTTTTGCAATAGTTACATCGGATATGATCTTTCAGATTTGCCCCCAAAGTATTCCTTGACTTGCTTGTTCTTGCACGATTTTCCAGTTTTATTTTACTGTATTTTGTAACAAAAGCAGTTAAAGAACATCATTAATTCGCGCGGCAAGACTATTTTAATTACTCTAATGAATAGTTGAAAACACGCTTCGCACCTGGTTGAGGTGCATTACTTTTTATGTGAACACTTGAAAACCTTGTTTTCATCTCTGGTGTGTACTGTACATGTGAGCGGCGCAACCACCAGTTTGCTGGAGATAGTTTTGCTGCACTGTGAAGCATTGTCTTTTGTTCTTGCCATTCTTCAAAAACCGTGTAGGTCTTTTCGTTTTTACGGCATGTAATAAAAGTGAACACTGATAGGACATTCTACAGAAAATATTTTCCGGTCGAAGTGAGCTCAGCAAGTTGCTTGTGCAACGACTTGGCCACGGTCTGGTACTTTTTTAAGGGTTTGCTAGTTCGCGGAAAACTGGCTCGTAACTACCTTGGGTTTCTTAACTCCTCTGGGGTGACTCCAGAACGTTTTCCCATCGCTTCTGTGAAGTGGTTCTGTGTCCCTGCTTCTCGTGTTCTTGCCTGTGTGTGTTTTGTGGTTACGGCCGTGCTTGTGCGAAGTTCTGTATTTTGTGAGCGAAGTGAAAATGCGGCTGGAGCTCAGAGGTGGGTCTGGTGCAGACGAAATCCGTTGAAGGAGGTGAGCTCAACATTCTTCAGGCGTTGCAGCTCTTTCCTTGACGTCTGTGATCTGCCCGGTTCCAGATGAAAGCGGAATGTGACGCTGGGATATCGGTATGCGCGGAATGATGAGCTACAGTCCGACAAGAGTTTAAATCTTTCATTGTGTTCCTCCTTTCCTGTCTTTTTTTTTTCCTGTAAGGAAATAAGAGGATGCAGATCCGTGCCGTTGAGTTGGAATAATATTGCCCATTCCCAAAGACACCCCGAAATGTGATCGAGGTTTTGTCTTAAGGTGTATGGATCTAAGGAATTTAAAATTGTATACATGCAATTCCATCCAGGTACAAATGTACACCTATTCTATGGTCCAAGACTGTTCAGCCTTGATTTTAAATTTGTGCTATGCAGTAGTGCACAGCTTTGAAATATTTCTGCTTTTTAGTCTTGTATTTAGAACTTATTTTTTTTTTTGTTCTGACTAAGCCAGAGGACACAGATGGGAGATGTGTGCCATCAAAGTTATCATGTCGGTGCTTTTGTTGTTTAGTATTAATCGTGTGCACAAGCATAGACCTCTGTCCTCTCTCGGTTCCCGCAGCAACCTGGATTCTAGCCCAGAAGCACAGGGTATAAGGCAGGGCTGCACCCTGGATGGGATACCAGTCTGTCGCAGACACAGGGATGCTTTTTTTTTGTCCATCTATAGAACAAAAATCCCATCCAGGATTTTCAGACTGTCTGGAAATAATTACGTGGTATTGCCAAATTCCTTTCTGCTCACTGTAATTGGTCAAAATTCTAGTGCTGGCTGCTGATCTGTTTGAGTCCAGGGGTATATGGATTAGGTACGTCAACCGCTCGGACACCTCTGCTTCTTAGCTGCCTTTGTGAGGTTTTGTCTTATTTGCCCTGTTTGAAGATTTCCCCCCCAATTTAGATTACTGGGAACCATCCTGAATTCTTTAGAATGTTTTTTACATATAGATATATTTGCATGCTGAAAGATTTCTGGAGAGCAGAAGCCATTTACCAGCTAACCTCTAACTCATTGGTAAGATGGGCATCTAATAAATTAAGACAATCTTGAGTGTTTACTGGCAATGTGAAATTATTCGAAGTGCAGCAGAAGTGTCTCGGTTTAGATCTTGTAAAGGGAACCTTCTTAAAAAAAAACCTGAAATCTGATAAGTGACTTTGCTAAACATTCAATGCATATACAGTATGTCATGGAGCAGCAATTTCATTTATTATCCTGGGTCTGTTAAATGTGCTTTTGAGTTGGCTGCACCTTGAAACAGCTGGTATTCGGTTTCTGTTAATCATTAGATCTGGAACAGATAGGAGTGTCACCAAATCTATTGGCTAATCAATCATTCACATGGTCCTGAATATCCAGTAGAAGTGGTGATTTATTTATAGGATTCCGTCAATCACCCAGCTGCTTAAAGCCTGGATTGCTGAACCTTTTTGTGAATTGGAATCTGTACAATGTTTCACAGTTGTCGTTGAAGTGTTTTCAGTAGGAAAACTGTTTTTTTTTTGTCTTTCTTAAAGTGTTAGTGCTCGGCTTTCTTGAAGGCATTTTTTTAAAATCGATTTTTGAAGACTTTGTCCTTCAACGTGTATTCCGTGGACCATTGGAAAGCCGGGATGCAAAACATAAAGAGTGGATGTGAAACTGTTAGCCTAATGATTGGACTTGGCTCACTGCGCTTAACACTATTAATGGTAATTCACGAGTTGTTGCCTAGAGGCATTCTCACTTTAAATACAAGTGTATCCTTCTTTTATTCTTGTGCACAAGAGGACAAAGATCCACCATTTTATGGGACTCGGCAGGTGTCCCTTTTTCCCTTGTTTACACGTCCTGGAGCTGTTTGCTTGGAATAATGCAACAGTAAACGAGATGCCCAGCGAGGCTAGGATGAAAGGTGAGGCAGCTGCTTCCCAAGGTTCTGGGCAGCCCCATTTATTTCAGATAATTGTATAATTAATTGTAATTTTCTAGTACTAGAAAAAGTCGTTGTGGTGTTTTTGCACATACTCCTACCATGTGGGTCAATGTAAAACATATGGCTGATTTCGCCTTGTTCTGACTGGCTCTGTGGTGCAGGAAGGCTGGGCCGTCAGGAGAGCAGCTGGAAGACTGGCCCACTCTTTGAAGGTTCTCCATCTCACACCCAGCCTAATCAATCAATAATGGCTGCTGCTTATCACCAGGCAGCCAGGGATGAGACAAAGGGACAAGCACTGCAGCTCATCTGGAGAGGCAGCTGACCCCCTGCTGACAGCACTGCTTTCTTGTCTTTTATCGGGGGGGTCTCGTGGATCTGCACTGCTCATGGGAGATCATTGCTTAGCAAAGGTATTGGGGGGTGGGAGAATTTGAATTAGTTTCAGCCTGCTTGGATTGAGGTTTGTTTTTAGATAGAGAGCAATTAATTACTGTTTTTTGAGAGAAGTGCTGTAGCTGCTCTGATATTCCGGTACAGCTGTTTCTGCCTGAGACCAATCCAGCTGAAGTATTGCCCTTCACAGTATCTTCTGTGTGGCTCTTGCAATTGCATTTCTCCAGAAGTCATTTGTCAAACTATTCTTTTATGCCACAGTCACGACAGGGACTCTGTGAACCAGATTCTTGCACATGATTACTTTTCTCTTGCAGTGATGCAACACGAAAGAGAAGCTAAGGAGCACTTAAGGTTTTTAAGTGTATCGGAGTACCTCCTGTTTCTAGGGGAGTCTGGAAGAAGCTTGCCCAGCTTTGTTGAAGTTGATATCCTGATTTCTTTTTAAAAAATGGCTGGGTGAGATCTTGGATCCATTTGCTACTAAAAACCAAGGAAGCTGGATTCGGCCAAATGCCCTTCTTATCTGTAGCCTTTGTTTTTCTGAACTGTATTTTTTCTTGCAAGATGCTTGACCTCTGCCTTGCTACTCTGAATACAGAGCAGCTCATGGAGTAGAGATCTACACTTCTCATACCTCAGGGAAAAAAAAATGCATTTGTTACAAGCACTGTAATCTTCTTTGAAACTTTTTAGCTGTTACAGTGATCGTATTTCTTTGCAATGCGAATTGGAGCTGCATTTCTAACATTCCGGAGACCAAAAGTTAGAACTTCTTGGTACAATGGGCCTATTGTTGGGGCATATCGGGGGACTTTTCAAAAGCTGAACTAAAGTACGTTAGAAATGTATCTCGGCTCTTCCTTTCATGAGCTGGTAACTGTAAACCAGCGATTAAACTTGTGTATCACTTGTTATAATCCGAGGTTATGCTGCCTAATAACGCAACCTTCGCCAACGAGAGGGGTTTATTTAGCCTATCCAGCCCATTCAATCACGCACAACTAATACATTTCAGGATCTCATCCAGTTGGTTCTTGAAAATCTGTGGTATTGTCTTAAATGGTTGCGTAGCTTGTTCCAGACTCCTACACCACGGGGTGTAAAGTACCTAAAGACATCGTTGTACATTGAGTATTGAAGATTGTAGTACATGATTTTTCTTTTTGGTGCTTTGTGGTTTTTCCCTTAATACAGTTTTGACCAATTAAAGATAATTTATAATCTGCCGTCCCCTTTACCAGAAAGACACAAATTGAAGCACATGTCGCTTTCCTTATTGACTTTTATTGGGCTATTCAGTGGAGAGTGCCTCAAGGAATCCCCATGATGGTCTGTAATCTCCTACAGTCATGCTGAGCGCCACATTAGAGCACACCTCTTTGTGCTGTAGTTGCCCCTCTACACCAGCGAGGCTTCAGCGGTAGTGGGCCTGTTTCTCGTCTCTCAACACAAGTGACAGCCCCGCCACTTCTCCCTTGTCCTAGCAGACGCGATGTTCACTGTAGTCGGATTTCAGCTTCTGGAATGGTTCCCCAAACGTCTTCAACTGTTTGAAAGCAACGTGGCATTTTAACAGGCGGTTTCAATACTTAATTCACCTGTGGTCCCTTTTCCAGAACTCCTTTCCTTTTCTGGGCAGGATGTAAGGCTGTGAAGAAGAAGCTGGGTGCAGTGTGCTTAACCAGTCATGAGTCCTTTTCCCCTCTATAGCACTGGGGGAACAGCTTCCATTGGAGACCTCTTTCATCACTTACAAGTTAAATGATGCATAACTGCCATTTTTCATTTCCATCTCTCTATTTCCTTCATGTCTTTGAATAAGAGGTTTATGGGAATGTGTTACTTTGGTACAGTGTTTTTCTGTTGGACTAGATCTTCAGACCGGCTGCTGGTTTTCCTTCTAGAGAGAAGGGGCTTGTAACAGTTTTAGAGGGGACTTTTTTTTTTTGCTCTAAAAGATAACTGAAGTATTTACACTGTCGGTTTCAATAAGCGAGAGGCATGCCCAGACAATGCAGTGTTCTTTAATACCACTCCCCCATTAATCCTAGGCAGTTTGGATTAATCTTGCACACTGGAATTCAGAATTCCACAGTTTCTGTGATTTATAGTCCCAGGGGTTACTTAACGCATGGAAACCGAATTCCTGTCATTCCTGGCCACACCAGTAAATGTGAGAAGCTCCGTTTCCACGGAGACGGTTTCCGCCTCACCTTGAAGCAGTATTATAATGCTTGTTACAGCAGGCTGGGGTTTCTCCAAAAAGGCTTCAGGTCTCAAACAGATTTATCATTGTGTGGCACTGCGGCGCTTCAGTGGCCTGAACAATGCGTTTCGTTTTGGTGGACTCGGGCTGTTCAAAAGCATAAATTAATATATTAAGCTATTAATTATTTCATCAGTTAATGTACAACATTTCTATTCATTAAATTTTTACCGTCTCCACTTTGTAGTCATTTGTATGCTTGAATGAATTAATTTTTGAACCAGCAAAAAGTTTTGAACAAGATATTAAACTTAAAGTTTGTAAATATGAAAGCTTGCTTTCAAAGCTTTGTCTTGCTTTTTGTCTCAATTACAGCATAACGCATCTAGCTTCACTGCAGGGGAGAAACTGGTGGCTGAACTGAAAATACATGCTCACCAAGTCTGAAGGGTTCTGTTTATTGGGGAGGGGGATTTAGAATTGAACAAATAGCCTCTTTTTATATTTTCTATTTAAAAGGAACACATTTATTAAAAATTCATCATATTGTCACAGCTCACAAAAAAATGAAAAGGATATATATATATATCATTTGAACCTGATGACTCGAGTGAACTGGGTTGTGCTGGTGTTTTAAACTTTTTAGACCTGGGTTAAAATGTCAGATTACACAGTCCATTCTAAACTAAGATTGCAGCTACTGCAGATTAAACATAATTGCATATTCATAATTTCTGAAAAGTGCAACCTTCAAAGAAATGGAAATCTTAGCTTCTTCAGATAAAGCCTTTTTAAGCCATCCAGTGTCTAAAAGTTAATTATACAACACTGCTTCATTTTTCCCTCCACTGTGAAAGAGCTCTAGGGAAGGATGTCTTAAATGATTTCTGTAAAATTAATATTTATAAGAGACCTGAAGGGATTGCATATATTGAAGAATAATACATTGTTTTATATTTGAAGATTATACCATGAAAAGAGAAATGTAACTTGCTAAAAAAAGTGAAGTTCTTGGAATATTTGTTTTCAATTCCAGCTGTACCAGAAGAGCTCCCATTTTGAGTGGCAGACGTGTTTTCTAGGAATTTTACAGCACCACTTTTATCCCAAAACAAGAAGGCCAAAACATCTTTATGTACTTCCAGAAATTACTTTTATTTTAACTCTAACTTGCCATTTTCAGACATCTTCTTTCAGAGAAACAAAATGCCGGTTTAGTACCTTATCACATATTCAGGCATGTGTGCAAAAACCCCATAATCCTCCGCTCTCGGTAAAATCAGATGCCAGGGTTTATCCTGTAAGGATGTTGTACACCTCCAAGCCATCTTCGGGTTAATCAGCCAGGTTCAGCGTTTGAAATGTCTTTTGATCTCCTTGTAAGAGGATCTGGGTAATGTTCCTGACTTAAAAAAAAAAAGAATAAAAAAACTGTTTTAATTCTTGGAAGTAAATTGGGTATTATTTGTGTTTTAGGATCGCCTTACTATGACAATGTGCGACCCCTTTCCTACCCCGACTCGGATGCAGTTCTCATCTGCTTTGACATCAGCAGGCCAGAAACCCTGGACAGTGTATTAAAGAAAGTGAGTATTGAGAATAATTTGTTAGATACCACAAGTACTCATGAGCTTCTGTAAACATTTTTTTTTTTCTCAGGTTTTTGTGTAACAAGAAATTGCATGTCTGGCTCTGTAAGTGGTATCTGAAGAGTCCCGTGGCTCGTCTCCTGAAAGGCTTTGCTTTGTGTTGGAGATGGGTCAGGTGACTTTAGAAAAAATCATTCCATGCTTTATTGTAATTAAAGGGGCCTAACAAATTGTGTATCCAAGATAGCAGATGGTTTTTAAAAGTAAAATGTTTTAGTCTATTAAGTCGGCAATACAATTTAAGCAATAGCTTCTCAAGAGTGGTGATCAAGTGTTCAGTTTAGTAGAAAAGGTGAACTGAGACTTAATGTGACCATTTTGTCTGAGGAGCTCAGCCCTCTGGTCCATTTTTTGGTGTGGGGGGAAAAAAAACCTCAACGTAAAATAAAAATGTGCATGCCAGTTTGCACCCTGTTTTGGTGAGAAATCTCCATAGATCCCGATATTCATGATAGATGAATGATTAAAATTTTTGAAGGTGTAATTGTACTAAATTGAATGTATTGTCAGGGCTGTAAAAATGTTTGTTATTCATTATTAAATAAACATTACTCACCCTGTTATTAAATTGCACTGAACACCAAATCTGTACTTCTTTCCGCATTGAAATTGTCAATTTACCTTGATTTGCTGCTAAAGTCCATTAATGATCTGGAGAATTTTGAATTAAATTAATCTGGTGGGTGGGGGACTACCCACCTAACAGGATAGTGGTAAACAAACAAGTGTCCAATGGTTTCACTGAAACGTAGGCAGAAATCCTTGGTGCAAAATCTCTTAGGTGTGCTGTCTGTATTGGTGTATGTTGAAGCGTTACTGAAACTCGGTTAGAACTCATCAATGTCTTTTACATATTTTGTAGTGGAAAGGTGAGATCCAGGAGTTTTGTCCCAATACAAAAATGTTGCTGGTTGGCTGCAAGTCTGATCTCCGTACGGACCTCAGCACGTTGGTGGAGCTGTCCAATCACAGACAGACCCCTGTGTCCTATGATCAGGTAACGTTCTAGTCTGACAAAACTATTCTGTGATGCATTAAACCTGGAGCCTTTATCCCCCCATTTAAATTGACATTATTTTAAAGAATTGATAATGTATGAAACGGACAGAAATCCATGTCAAGATTCGATTGGCTTCAGGGTTCAGGAATATTATGTTAACTGAGCATGTAATTCACACAGAATCTGTGACCCACTTTGGTCTAGGCCTGACATTTTACAGTATGTTGCACCTGTACTGTTATTGATATAACATATATATATATACTCCGAAGGCAAAGAGTTTTTAGATGTGAAAGGATGTTCTTGGGATTTTCAGTATTGATCCTTGACTGTAATGATTTAAATGTGTGGTTCCTTCTCCAGTGCAGAACTGAAGGATATTGGAGCCTCTGTTTGGCAGGAATTAGGATTCCTCGCCCCCTCTCGAACGGTTTTGGTTACTGCTGATCCACGAAAGAAAATGTCTGTATGTCTCTTTTCCGTCCCCCCCCCCCCCCCAGGGGTCAAACATGGCCAAGCAGATGGGGGCGCCGTACATCGAGTGCTCGGCGGTGCAGTCGGAGAACAGCGTGAGGGACATCTTCCACGTGGCCACGCTGGCCTGCGTCAACAAGAGCAGCAAGAACGTCAAGCGCCACAAGTCGGCCCGGGCGCCCAAGAGGATCTCGCACATGCCCAGCCGGCCAGACCTGGCGGCCGTGGCGTCCGACCTGCGCAAGGACAAGGCCAAGAGCTGCACGGTGATGTGAGGCCCCCCCCGGCGAGCGCCCCCCCTCCTGCAGGGGAGCTGAGGGCTCTGCGTGCACTTTAAAGGCTCCGCAGCCCGGAGAGAGCTGGAATAGGAGGTGCCAGTGAAGGAGGAGCAGCGCCGCCAGTCTCGGCTCGGATGGGCGCAAACGCCTGGCGTAGATCTGACTCTTCTCGTTTCCACACCCGGGAGGAAGTTCCGAGCCTGGCCTTCGCTTGACATCCGGTGTCCCATGAATTCGTTTCCTGCTGCAGGAGGAGACGATTTCGTTTGGTTCTGGCCCCTGGAAGTGACATTGCAGCCTTTCCAGCCTTCGGCAGGAAACCGTCAAGGCTGCCCATCTCTTTGGGGGGGGGGTGTGGTAGCAGAGGAACTGCGTTGTGAGGCGCTTCCTGAAGCAAATGTGAAAACCGCTGTCTGAGATTCCTGTTGGAAACCACGCTCCTCAGGTCCGAGTGCTGCTGTGCTCTTCGACTGAAAGCTGTTCTTGCACTGGCCCCTGCGCCTTGTGTCAAAAGACAAAGGGGCAGCAGAAGTAAAGCATGACAGTCAATCACTGTGGTTCAGCCCAGTTTTTTTTTTTTGTGTGCCCTCATTTTATGACTGCCTGTTTTAAAAAATGTCAGAGGAAAATGGCAGGCCATGTGTTCCACACAGCTAAGAATCTGGTATGCAGCAACCGAGTCTGGAAGGATTTCCACAATAACAAAGCTTTTTTTAATGTTCCATGCATTTTCATCTATTTATGTGCTGTACTAATGTCAACTTTCATTCTGACGGGTTTTTAACCAAAGAAATTTGGCAGTATGTTGAAATCCCAGTACTTGTCCCATAACCATAGAGCACATGATTTTTTTTAACTTGTAATTCTTCGCAGCAGTGTGAGTCTTGTTCCGATGATGAAATACAGGGTATAATGTAGGTTATGCACGTCTGTTTGCAGACATATCCATTTCCCATTGCTGGGATCAAGCAGAAGAGCTGTCGCTAGCCTAGACACCAGTGCCTGACTAAATGATTTTGAAATGTTGAGTTTTGCTTTGGAAATCTGAAAAAATATTTTATTTTTAGGACTGTAAATGTATATCCTGTCTGATGCAGTTTATTATAAAACATTTTTCCCTCTAACTGTAAAGGCCTTTGAAAGGCTTCTGGAACCAGAATATTTGTTTCTTTGCAAGGATGTCCTCAGCTATGCAATACATGCATTTCTTTGGCCCTGGTCTAAAAATCAAACAAAGGATTTTGTTTGTTTTTGGTTGAAGGACACATCAGTATTGTGGTTAGTTTTCAACATCTGTTGAACAAAAAAATCAGACTGTTTCAGTAAATGCTTCAATTTTTGGAAGCATTTTGGGCTGGGAGGAGGTTTTGGGGATTGAAAGTGCTAAAAACATTCTGCAGTCATAAGCATAAAGTTGCACTTTGGTCTTTTTTTTTTTTTCTCTTCAAGCAAAAGAAAATGTTTCAGGACTTTGAAGATTCCACATGACTGGAGTTGTGCAGTTATACACTTCTGAACTGGTGCATCAGTACCCACTGGGACAGTATTATCAGCTAGCTGGCATATGCTTTCTGTATTTAAATGTAAAAAAAATTAAGTTATAAAAATGTTCAAACTGTAGAGGATCACTTTTTTTTAAATGTTGAAGTCCATTTGTAAGTCTGTTCTGTTTCTGCAGTATTTATTGAAGTATATTTTTCCCCCCTCTTTGAAAATAAAAACAATATTGTGTACCTTTGCAAGTGGCTTCACTATGTTGAAATGAAAATGACCTGAATTCAGCTCTGCTGGTTTGGCGAATGGTTGAAACGGATGCCCTTGGCATTACCCTTTTAATAAGGGCTTGGAGAAGTTTACCAACCGTGTAAACACCGAAATGTAAAGATAAGACTCTTGACCTTTTGCAGCTTTAATGATCTGTATTTTCAATAAACAGCCAGGTAGCCACGTTCACTAGAGTGGTGAAGCTAAAACCTAAAGGTCTCGCTGCTGTAGAGCTGTTCAGACGGGAATGTGACCTCTGAGCCCTACAAGTAAAAGCCATGTGCAATAAGGACAGAGCTAATGGGAAAAGAAGAGGAAGTAATCCATCATGTCCGTCAATTTTCAAAGATGATCACGAAAAGGTAACATTTCAGTTCAGACTGACGCAGATCCGGCTGTTTGGTTTGATCCTGGTGTGTGCTATATGGGGTGAAATGGGAAGAGTGGTTGGCGTGACCCCCAGCTAAGGGAGTGGCGGCCCAGGTGTCTGGGAAGGGCTGCAGACGCCTCCTCGAGAGTACGAGGATTGAGCCACGGAGCTGCTGCAAGGGTGAAGATGGGCTTGTGGCAGGGAGGCGAGATGGGCATAAAAAGGGAAGTCCTGGGCGCGAGACTTGCGGACAGTATGTACTGTAGGCGCGCAGAAAAGCATTTGGGATTAGGATCCAATCGCAGAGGGTCCCAAGCTCCTCTTATAAACTCCATTAAACCATTAGAGAAGAGTTAGATCCCCTGTCATTCAGCCAGTCTCTTGCTTGTCACCCCACCCTTCTCTTGTCTGTAACAACGACAAAGTTGAGATTATTTATTCTATCATTCTTTAGGTTTAAGGCAACATTTGGATAACTAGTTTTATTAAAGAGTGGTTTTAGCTTGAGGTTTTTAACAAGTTTAGCTGTATGATATGGTGTACTAGAGTAAGGATACCTTACTGGTTAATGTTGACCTTCTAGTCTCAGGCTAAAATGATAATTACCCTGCTAGTATACTGCTGAAACGAAGTAGATGTGTTTCCCTGTTGCTAAACACGAAAACTGTGTGGGTGCACTCTGCTTTTAGAAATCATTCCCTCTTCGTGATCTAAAAGAGGTTTGTCATTGGTAAAAAAGCCTTGAGGAAGCAAGCGTTAATCTGCCTGATTAGAAAGTTACATGTACTAACACAGCAGTGCAGTTATCTTCGTATAAAACAATAACTGGAATAGTTTTGCACATTATGTATTTTGTAGATTTCTTCTTGCTTTGATATCCTTCTGTGGGCACAGAGAATTACCTTTAGTAAGCATTAGTATTTCCTTGACATTTGATGCATCCAAGTGTTAAATTATGTCTTGTATCTTTTGTTGAACATGATTTCTGTTTTGGTAGTTAATACAGAGGTTTATATAGGGAAAAACAGAGACTAAGGGCAGTGTGTGTACTATATTTCAGCTTACAGTCATTTGTTCAGCTGGCTGTCTTATCAATAGCAGACAACTTGACATTTCTGCAAAATGGCATCTGTTACAAGGGCTCAGGATGGGAAGCTGGCTAGAGTGGGCCTGTTCAAGCTGATCATTAAAGGAGACACTAGAAACAGTGCAATATTTTACCTTAATTGCTTTCCTATACAGCAGTACATATAATAGCCCTTGATGGACTCTCTCAGTTATTTGGTGATAATGGAGCCTTTATTTGTAGACAATGCCTAACAGATGCGTTTCCATAGCAATAGTGTACAGCAAAACTGCTAATCAGTCAATGTAGCTTATTTATCACAATCTCTCATTCCATTAATTTCTGTTAACAAAGGAAGATATTACTCTTTGAAGCTCAACACCCAAATCCGAGTGCAGACAAGTGCTGGCTTTTGTGGAAGCATGAGAAGCATCATTCTCTGTTATGCTGCAACTGGCACTTCCCTCTGAATCTGGAAGTGGGAGCTCTGCAATGTGTTTGTCAGAGTATGAACATGGTGAAAGTACGCCTGAGATTTTCCTCGGAGCTGCTGATAAAACCTCATTTACTGCTAAACAATAATTTTAAAATGAACCGATTTCCCTCATAAAAAGGAGCAAAATGTAATCAGTCACGTACTTAATGAGACATCTGTACTGCATGTCCTGTTTTGTTGAACTAAAATATGGGATGGAAATAGGAACAGGAGAATACCACAGCGTCCCAGTGCGCCAAGTTGGTGAAGACACATCCAACAGCACTCACAGCTGCAATTGTTACTGAAGGGGCTTCCTCCAAGTATAAACTCAGAGGGGGTGAAGATTATAATTTAGTTTTCGAGTCTTCTTTGCTGTGTTTGCTGACATTTAATTTCTTTCACACAGTTTCAGCTCAACACAATTTCATTTTGAGCATTGCACTGTACTTCATGCTGTACTTCACTGTTCAAACTAGAATTTTTAATGTCCAGAGTCAACTACATCATTCTATTTACCTATGTTTAGGTGAACAAGCTGACAACTTACTTAACAACAATATTTTCAGATCAGAAAAAGTCAAATTCTTTTTTTAATACAATAACTTAATATGCATTATTATCTCTTTTAGATGTTCTTTGAAACAATGCATTACATGAATTCAGCATACATATACATACAATTCAACACTTTGGGCTTTTGACTTAATCCTTTCCTATTATAATGATATATTGGCCACTCCATTTCTTCAGTTAGTAATTCACATTTTAAATAACATGGTTGTACAGAAAAGATCTAAGTGACAGTTGTGCTCTTTATTGAAACTGCATTTTAAGTTTGAAGTATTATATGCTATTCTGGTGTCAAGGCCTTTCCTTAACAGCCTCTTCTAAAGACATGCAGTAGATTTGCATTGTGCAAGATTATAGTTCAAAGTCCACCTCATGCCTCAGCTGCCAAATCTGACCCCCTATTCCTTCTCCCAGGATCACACACACAGAGACCTCCATAAACACAGAGAGACCTGCCTACACACACAGAGGGCTGCACACACACACAGAGAGACTTGCACACAAAAACAGAGACCTGCACACACACAGAGACTTGCGCGCACACACAGACATACTGTACACACACACATAGAGACCTGCACACACAGACTTGCACACACACGCAGACCTACATACACACACAGACCTGCACACACAGAGACCTGCACATACAAGCACACACACCCAGACCTACATACACACACAGACCTGCACACACAAACACGGACACACAGACCTACAGATCTACACACAGAGATCTACACACACACATTCACAATCCTTCACAATCTGCTACATCCTTTATTACAGAGCAATCAAAACTTAATGCATTAAAATAGTTTATTGGAAATTCTAGCTGGAGGGGAAAATGGTTATTTTCATGTGTGGGTGTTTTGTTGGGTTAATAAAGAATATCATTAGATATTCAGGATTGCCTTTTGGCAATATTTGATAGTTTAAGATGAAATTCCTTAAAATGGTTGTATACCTCATTTTACAGAGGATAGGTTCAGTTTAAATTGAGACAGTCTAATGCATTAATTACTGTATTTATATGTATTGTCAATTTGTAGGAAAACAAAGCAGATAGTTATGGTTGTTTGCAATGGTGGTGTAAATAAATTCAATGTACTCCAAAAAAAAGGCAGAAAAAAATATTTCCGGGAGATGTATCAGCAACTATAGAAGGGACCCCACCGTCTCCTTCTCCTGACACATTTTGTCTCTTAAAAATTGCAGCTGCTTCTTCCAGAGCAGCATTTCCCCCTTCCTCTCCGTCAGGAGAACCTCCCTTCCATCGCT